ACAAATATTTATTGAACCAGACATTGTGCTAAGTGCTTGGAATATAATGATGAAAAATACCAGGAATAGCTCCTCATCACATGGCTGCTTATAGTTTAGTCGGGGAGCAAGATAATCACACAATTAAGTGTAAAATTATAATGATGACAAGTGCTGCAAAGGAGAGGTTTGTGGTACTTTGAATGCCTATTATAGGACTAGTCTAAACTGAGATTTGAAGAATGATGTGACAGATTAAAGATGGACATGTATTCTTTGCTACTCCTCCCATGAGGAGGTGAAGTCTAAACTCCTCTCCCTAAATCTGGGCTGGCCTTAGGGACTTGTTTAACCAATAGAATGTAGCAGAAAGGATGTTTGGGACTCGGCAGGGTAGATCATAAGAAGGCTTACAGCTTCTATCTTTCTTGGAATACTCTTTCTCGGGCTTTGAAACATCATGAAAGATGTCCCACTACCCTGAGACCACCATGTCAAAGAGGCCATGTGTAGGTGTTTGAGTCAACAGTCCCAGCTGAGGCCTTCCTTCCAGCCATTTCTACCAAGCCATCAGACACTGGAATAAAATCTTCGATCCTCTAGATCCAAGGTCAGTGAACTACAGCCTACAGACCAAATCTGGCCACCACCTATTTTTACAAATAAAGTTTTGTTGGAATGCAACTATACCCATTTATTTAATTGTTGTCTGTGGCTGTTTTTCCATTATACTTGTAGAAATGAGTAGCTGTGTTAGGAATGATATGGCCTGTTATAGAAAAAAATGCTGACCCTTGTTTTAGGTTAGTACTCTCCAATAGAAATATAACACAATCACATATGTAATTTGAGAATTTTGAGTAGTCACATTAAAAAAATTAGAAAGAAATAGGTAAAAATCAATTTTAATGATATATTTTACTTAATTCAGTATATCTAAAATATTATAATCTCAACATATAATTAATATAAAATTATTAATGGATATTTTACCTTTTTTTCTGTATAAAATCTTATAGGAATTTTACACTTATAGCACTTAGATAAGCTACATTTCAAGTGATGAGTAGTCACATGTGGCTAGTGAACTACTGAATTGGACAGTGCAGCTCTAGAGCAGCCCATTCACTAGATTAATACCAACCACCAACTGACTTCAGTTGATGCCACGAGGAATAGAAAAATCACTCAAAAGCTTGCCCAAATTTCTGGACCACAACATTGTGAGGCAGAGTAAATATTAGTTGTTTTAAGCTGCTAAGTTTGGGGACAGTTTGTTAGGCATTAATAGGTAAACAGAACAGATTGAATAAATGTTGTATAGGTGAAGTGGAGCGGCTTGGAAGGATTCTAGGCAAAAGGAACAGCAGGTACAAAGGCACTGAGGCAAGAGGGAGTATGAGGGAAGGTTGATGTGGCTTAAATGACTAGACAAGTGGGGAGAGAAGCCTGCAGAGGTCAGCAAGCAACAGACCATGCTTATCTCAGGGGTCAGCAAAGGATTTGGGTGTTTATTCTGAGTACAACATGAATCACTGAAGAAATTAGAGGAGTGACATAATGAGTTTTGCATTTTGAAAAGATGACTTGGCTACTGTGTAGCAAATGAATGGTAGGGAAGTCAGAACAGATGCCAGAAGACCAATCAGTTGGCTACTGATTGTACTGATGTAAATGAAAGAAGATGGCCGCTTGGTCTAGAGTGGTAGTAGCAGATGTAGAAGTGGATAGGTTCAAGCAATATTTAGGATTATAATCAACTGGAAGTGAAGATGAGGGTGAGAGATTGATTGATTCATTGATTGATTCATTCATTCATTCAACAACTGAGTGCCAAGAATCACTCTTGTTTAATAGACTAACATGGTGGATGCTGCAGGGCTTTTTTACTTTTTCACTTGCACAAATAAGTGAAATTCTTTTCTATAAGTAGAGTAGGATAGCTTAATGGAGTCTGGAATGTCAGATGAGTTTGTATTTGATGTGATAGAAAATTGAGAGTTTGAGATTAATGGTTTGGGAGCAGGGAAATTATGTAATGGAAGTTTAAAAAAATAAGCCTATCAGTGACCTGAGGAAGGAGGTGAGGGCTGGTGTTATGGTGGTCAAGAAAGCCCGGATTAAAGTCTCATAGACCTGAGAAGAAGAGGCTGAACCAGCATAGGGACAGTGGGTATGACAAGAAAGAGGATGAGCATGAATGCCACCTTGATGAAAACATGAACACTTCTTGGTGTCTTATAGACATGGGAGATGATGATTGGCTATGAATGTGCGTCACCCATCTTGAGCTTAACTGAGCTCCCCTAGCAGCCATGTCTCTCTCTAGCTCAGGCTGGATCATATGTCGGACTTGTTTTCCAATCTCTTCTTGGAGCAAATCTTTCTGGGCCCCATTGAGTTTTTCATACTTAACACTGACTTACTTTGATTAGCTGTCCCTCTCCTCACCCATTTGGGAGCATGGTGTTTCCACACAGATATGAGGGGAGCAGCATCAAAGATGCATATGTACAAAGAAGAAATGTCTATGTAGACTCATAAGGAGGAAAGGCTGCTTTTATTCATTCTCTGATATATTAGGTAACTAAGTATTAAAATCAAAAATCCATTCCCTCACTTACCCAAAAGAAGTAGCGTAACATGGTGAAAGCATTTAGCTTTTCCAGTCTCCTTATAGCAAGTTTATGTACAAGACAGATGTCCAGTTCTCAGTCATATCTAGAATCAGATCTTTCTAAGTCAAGGTGCATCGCTTTTCCAAATTATCAATGGTTTTGGAAACCATTTTTTCCTTTTTTTGTCAAAAAATGCCTATGGGTGACCATCATGCAAAGTTTACAGGCAACTCTGTGCGCGTCTGGTCAAGGGTTCCACCTACCACAAATAAGACCCACAGAACTCCCTAAAAGGCGTTTATGCCAACCCTGGAATAAAAAAGTAAGAGGGACCCTTCCTGTTCTCTCAGAACCAGAATCATGGTCAAAGAGAGAAAGCCAATGTTTCAAGAGCACAAATTGAGGGACGTCCCCTCTCCCTATTCTATATACCAACCCTACCCTGGTGCTTGGAATTCCCAAATTACTCATTCCTTGGGTAAAGGCATTTTTGAAAGCCCCTATTAAAATACAAATGCTAGCTAGGAGGGAGCAATATTTTTTGTTTTTAGCCATTAAGAGTTAAGCGCAAGTTAATTTATCTAAATGGGAAAAGGAACTCAGAAAGGAACCATACTCTTAAATAAAAGAAGGAGAATAGTGAATGGGAACCTTCCTATTCTGATGGGGGGATGGAAAGTGCTGAAGACACATTTTTCTTCTACACATATTCAAAATGGTGTCTGTTTCCCAAACCTCACCCTGACTATACTCTGATCTATGGTTCAGAAACAAGTCTGTATATGAGGTTAGAGATGAGGATAAAGGTCAAATAAAGGATTGTGTGCCCAGCCTATGGCCCTATCCTTCTGTCCTGCCCCCTAAATACCCTTATTTGCCTGACCAAGAAAGGTGAATTGTCAACACTTGCTTGGACTCTGGATAACTACTCAGGAACTTTCCCACCACCCTCTTTGTTGTTTCAGACATGTTTTGTTCTTGCTCTATTTCTTCACAGCTTTAGTCTCCTGGTCAGAGACCCCTAGACTTACCTCTTACCTCTCGCCAATTTTTGAAACTTTGTATTTGAATCTCGATTTTCTCCCAAAGAATCTGGCTTGGCTTAACTTTTCACCTTTTATGCTCTTTCCTCTCCCACCTTAGCCTCAACTCCATAACATCTGATCCTCATCTCCACCAAGAAGAGATATCTGATATCCAGGGATATTAGAGTAATGAAAATATCAAGCTCAAAGACATAGTTAAACAGTTAGTGCAATCGCAAGGAGCCATTTCCTTGCCTTCAAAGCATGGTTGCTATACAATAATTTTAGTGTGACTATCTAATTAGTACTGTTTTCCCACTAGGCTAAAATGTTCAAAAGTATAAGGACCATGTCTTTTATGCTCCCTGTTAAATACCCACTACCTGTGACATCGTTAAGCACTCAATAAATATATTTAGGACACACCAATTAACAGATATTTATAAAAGCTTATACACAAGATAGCTCATGTAAATAGCATTAATGGTACCTGCAACAGCAAACAGATGAAATAATAGAGAACTATGAACTTGTGCACATAGTTAGACTCATTTAAGTCCAGAGCCTTAGTCCCAAGAGTTTGCATGTCAGAGGAATAGACCATCTCCTTAGTTATTACCATTTGAGAGGAGTGGGAAGTTCCCTTGGCCAAAAATTATTTTCACCTGTCTCTCCTTAAATAACTATTAGTGGAGGCACTATTTTAAGCCTATTTGCAAATGCAAATATGTTCATGGTATACAGAACACGAGCCCACTGCCTGGGCTCTTTTTGACCTAAGACTTTCTTTTCAAATGAGCTGTTGGTCTCTAGTGCCAAGAGGAGCCAATATTGTGATGGGGCATTTAGAGGGGAAGAAGAAATGTAGAAAAGAGAGGAGAAAAAAAGAGAGAGAGAGAGTGTGAGTGAGAGATAGGAAGAGAAAGGCCAAGTAAGAAAACAGACACCAGTGCAGAAGCTGTGGGTTTTGCTCCAGATCTCTGGACTTCTCACTAGCACAAGGGTCTCAGGCAGGGCCAGGATCCTTGGATAGCTTCTCCTGCAGCAGAGCTACTTGGAGCCCCCAGCACCCTGATGCCAGGGGTGGTTGCTGGTCGTTTGGTAAGTGGCCCCTTCTGTTTCCTGCCTGTCCTGTCTCTTAGCTCACCAAAGCAGACAAAGGTCTCTGGCTGGAAGAGAAACGTTTTTGTAATATCCTACCTCCAATGTAGCCAGTCTCAACATCAAGCCTGATGCTCACAAGTTTTATGCATGTACTCCACAAACGTACTTACCCACTCCCTTGCCAGTCGTCAGCCCCACCTCTGAGCATTCTGCCCCAGACGCAGCTTTATCTAACACCACATTCCCCAGGCATACGAGCTTCATAAGAACATACCTGTCACAAATGCCCATCTACTGCAGCTCCCAGAGACCAGATGCATAAGCCCAGTGGCATTCCCGAGGAACACAGAAGCAAGGTATTTGGAACAAACGAAAAGGAGCCTTTGTGAGCTCCCCCAAACCTCCTAACACTCCTTGTAGAGAAAGAAATAATGTCAGGGCTGAGGCTAGAACTCAAATGCAGAAAGGGGAACTGACAAGAAAGAAATAGCACCACAGACAGGGGCTGGTTCCAGATAACTTCTGATGGCAGGTGGGCATTTCCACCGATGAAAATGACTACAAATGCACTAGCAGAGAGTGAGTGAATGTAAAGCCCTGAGGAAACTCCCCAAAGACAGCCCAGCCACAAACATGACAAACACTGACAGAGATCCAGGAGTGCAACTTTTGAGGCCTAAAGGTAAAGGTTCAGCTCAGTTTAACAACAGTTTAACTGGGCTGCCGTGTACTCCAGACTGTTTCTGGCTTGGCAGAGCTGCAGGAGACAGTCTGCAATCAGAAAACCCAGAGACTGGGTATTTCTCTTCTCACTCCCCACCCCCAAACCATTCATTTGAGTATACCTCCATGGATCCCGTTAGAAGCCAATTAACATCCACAGCCCGTTTTTAAATTATCCTGATCTAATCCTAATTGTCGTAATCTAGAATGTTTCTATTACCTTGGCTCCTATTTCTGGAAGTGGGTGGTACTCTTGAGCCTGGAAACAAGTCCCAAGCAGAAGACTGAAAGCTGTGTGAATGCCAAGTCGGATTTTTCCAAACCTAGTGCTTCTTCAGGGTCAGGGTTCACACATATAATAATCATGCCTCAAATGTATGGTTTCTTTTTCTGACCAGTCAGGCCTTGAGAAGGCCTCTGCTCAATGTTTGGAGGCATTTATGTGCCTATGAGCGTGCAGCATTTGCACTCAGGAGGGGAGCAGCTCCCTCTGAGCATGTCTCCTCCACTCTCTCGGAGGCTAGTTGTGCCCTGCAGGACTGGAGAAATTAAAAGTAACAAAGGGAAATCTATGTGTTGTCTGGGTTGAGAAGGAACACCCAAGCAAGGACGTGTAGTGCAGGGGAAGTAGCATAGCATGGGTTTGGAACTGGTGGCTAAGGTCAAATCCTGGCTTGACCCCTGGGCTCTGAACCCATTACTGAACATCTCCTCATCTCAGTCTTTTCATGCAAGAAAGGTGACCAGCATCCTTGCTGCATTGTTCTGCAAGACAGGTGGGATCTTGCATGCAAATCACTGGGCACAGAGCAGGCTATACAGCTACCTAGTCTTTATTCATACTTTTCTGTCTTCCTTTCAGACTTTCCGGTTCTCACTTTGACCTTTTTTTACCACAAAAATTATCCTTAACCACGGGAAAGGTGATGGTCATTCTTCCCCCAAACTGACCTGTCAACTCCTTCACCTTCCTTCCAGGGCCTCCCAAAGCCAAAGGGCTCCTGCGTGAGTCCTGGCCCCTGACTCATAGGGTCTTCACTTCCTCTCAGCCATTCTGTGTGCATACCTTGGAAACTTCATCCTTTATTCGGATAGGCCCCACCTGGGGTTTTCCTCTGGATTTTACAATCATATATATATTTTTTTATTTGAAAGGGTCCATTTAGTTTCCTTATTGTAACACATGAAATTACCCATGTATCAGGGCACAGGAGTATTAATTTACATTCCACTCAGTTTTCAAGTTTCCTTCTTTTCCTTGTACTCAGCAGTCATATAAAATAGACTAAATTGGAAAGTCTTGCTATCAAAATATTTGGAATTAGTACTTCCCAAACTTTAGCCATTCTAGCTACTAGTACCACTTCATATCATTGTCAAATCTGTATTATTTTTTATATACTTATTTTTCTCTTGACTTAATTTGAATCAGTTTATTATAGAAGGAATCTTTATACCAACATGGAAATTTTTAAAAACCAGTATCATTTACCATAAATAAAGGGTGAATAAAAATAACACCTCACACAGGGCTTTGGAATTACAGAGAACTGGGTTCAAATCTGGCTCCACCAGCTGAAACGTGTGTGTTCTTGGGGAAGTCACTTTACTTCTCTGAACGCTAGTTTCATAACAGAAGTAATACTAAATATCTCATGAGCTTGTTGTGAGGATCAAATAAGAAGACATATATATGATGACTCAAACAGATTCTGACATACAGCAGGTTCTTTTAAAAAAGTTGTTTTATCGTTTTCTTTTCGATTTCTTCTCTTATCTCCTCATTCACCTCCTGCTTAGAGCAGTGTCCAAATGCACTACAATACTGAATTAATGGCAGATAAGGGGTGAGGCTGGCAGCAGAAATAGAAGACATCATGGTGTCATGGAGTTCTCTCACTTTAAGACTTCATTAACTTTGCAGGGTCATCCCAGTCTCTCAGAAGTCATCCCAGTCTCTCACTGTGAAGCAAAGACCCCTTTGATGTTCTCTCTAGTAGATGGATGTCTAGTCTTTGCTTTCTCACTTATGTTAGAAAACTCACTACCTAATAAGACAGTTAAAAGAGAAAGGTCTCCTTTATAAAAATCTCCTACCTCTCCCTCCCCAGCCATATAGGTACTATATAGCTGTCCGTGTCCTGTTTTCTAAAACTATTGGTATATGTATTTTTAACCTCTTTACATTGAACCCTCCACATGTTGAAAGCTTTTATCATAAATTTCCTTAATAGACTCTTTTCTTGGGTAAAAAGTATCAGTGTCCTCAACTATTCCTCATATGATGTGGTCTCTAGAACCCTAATCAACTTGGTGGTTCTCCCACTGGCACCTAACTCCCTGAATTTATCAACATACCTCTTTGCAGAGAGGGCTCATGGAATGGAATGGACAGTGATAAGATGACTTTCACTAATGAGTTAGAGGTCACATAAGCCTATAAACAGTTGTATTGGACAGATCACACCTCCTGGCCCCATCTTATTTATGTGTCAGTGTTCAGCCAATCAAAATTACTCTGAATCCCATACATGTCTTTCATTGTATTAGTCATCACTCTAAGCCTTGTGTTACTCAAAAATCTGATAAGGAGGACTTACCCAAGGGTCATCAGAGCCAAGGATGGACAAGGTTCAGCACTGATGGCGTTCAACAGTATGAAATGCTGAGATGAGGTTAAGCAAAATGAAGAAGATCAGTTCCTTGTGTTTATTAAGGAGGAAGTTACTAGTAACCTCAGAAAGCTGCTTTCTGTATGGGGCTGCTTCCTCCATGCCTTACTCCCAGATGTCCTCGTGTCTGAGGAGGTCAAGGCTACAAGAAAAAGCAGCAGGAGGGGAGTGGCCATGGATGGTAGCTGAGACAGGGAAATAGATACCTTCCTGATATTTTTGCTCAACTGTGTCCAAGAGATATTCCTCTGGCACCAATAGTTAGGACCTACTCTGGGGGTGGGGAAGGGCAGAACTAGAAACTTGTGGACATTTGGAAAGATCAGACACTTAGCCAAATTTTCCAATTCCAGCCATATATTTGTTTGCTATACATAAATGGCTTCCTGTGGTCACTGGTCAAGAGGCAATCTAAAAATATTCTAGGTTGTGGTTGTTCCAATGTAAGACAAAATCGTTTCCACAAATAATTGTAGCAGCATTATTTTTTGAAATGTTAGTGTTTGTTTTCCAAGATTTCTTTTTTCCAAGATTTTACTTATTTATTTGATAGAGAAAGAGAGGGAGCACAAGCAGAGGGAGGAACAGAGGGAGAGGGAGAAGCAGGCTCCCTGCTGAGCGGAGAGCCCAAACTGGGACTCGATCCCAAGACCCTGGGATCATGACCTGAGCAAAAGGCAGATGCTTAACCAACTGAGTTATCCAGGCACCTCTGTTTTCTGAAATTTCTTGACACATAGATTTTTTGCAGGGGATAAAGCAGAACAGACCTAAAGTCAAGACACATTTAGACTCTGGTGAAAGCCCATGGAAGAAATATAGGTGTCCTAGAAGAGAAAGAGAGTGCTTTTGAGATACAAGAGAAAGGAAGGGCAGACGTGTTTGGGTCCTCTGAGCAGTGGGATCCAAGCACCCGCTTCTCAGTGCTCCCAAGGGGATAAAAGCTTTGGGAGTATGGTTCTTACCTACAGAGACAGTACACTTGGCCCCTAGGCATCAGTTGGTAACCTCATTCCCCATTATAACGTGGGGGCAGAGCTGCCAGAATTCATAGACTACCATGTTTCAGATGGTAAGGTTGCCTAAGGCAACGAAGACATACTTGGGATTTGAAGCACTTCCTCCATTTCCAGGCATTAAGTGAGCTTCCTGAATTCTGGCAGGCTGAAGGAAGGGAAGGGCATCCCTGTATGATCAAGATGGAGTCCCTTATCCAACTGGCAGGATGGGTCTCACAGGTGAGATTCAGTTGAATGAAAGGAAATATGGAAAGTGATTATTTCTTACATACTTGGATTCATGGATAGAAATTCAGACCGTACACATAGTTCCAAAACTGCTTTTAGTTTAGAAGTCATGTAGCTCAGGATGGCTCTGTTCTTGTTCCCAGCCCTGCTGCACAAACTCACAATGCAGAATAGCCAGCCACCACTCCCAGGACCTGACTCTTCCCTTTTACTGAAACTCTTCTGGATTCACAGTGTTCCCTTGTACTGATTGAAAGAGAGTGAAAACACTTGCTATAAATTTTTTCTTTTACTGCTGTTGTAAAATGCATTCCTAAAACCCTTCCTCCTAAAAGCATAAACCCAGTAACTGCTGAGAGAATGCAAAGACAAGCCACAAAGTGGAAAAAAATATCTGCAAAACACATACCTTGTAAAGGACTGATATCCAAATGTATACAGAACTCTTAAAACTCAATAAAAAGAATAAGTTAGTCTAAAAATGGGCAAAAGATTGAATTATACACCTTACCAAAGGAGATATACAGATGGATGGTAGATAAGCAGATTAAAAAATGCTCCGTATCATATGTCATTAGGGAATCATTAATTAAAACGATAATGATCTACTACTACACACCTATTAGAATGGCTAAAATAAAAAAAAAAACACCTGACAATATCAAATGCTGACAGGGATGTGGAACAATGGGCACTTGCATTCATTGCTGGTGGGAATGCAATGATACAGGCACTTTGGAACTCATAGTGGCAGTTTCTTACACCACTTAACCTAAGCCTACCATGTTACCCATCAGT